TTCTTTGGTAAAACACTGAAATTACACACACACACACACACAATAATTATTAATTATTAAGTATCGCTAATTACAATAAATAGGAATCACACTCATTCAATATAGTCATTTATTTTTAACTACGACTGTTTTTTTTTGGATCTTGCCTGGCGCGCAATACTTTTAGTTTTTTAAATAGTTTTGGTTTTAGTGTAATTTGCTTTCCTTCAGTAAAATACAAACGAACCCATGCATGACTGCTCTATTGATGAAAAGCTGCCGTGCGTAAGGGACAATATAGCTTTTGAGATAATAATTTTTCTTAAGGGCTCGAACACACTGACGACCAGGTCACACCGGCCAGCTACCTCTAAAACCATTAAATCAAATGATATAGCAGACACTAACGTCCTGGCCGTCCGTTGATCGTTGCGACCAGAAGACTGCACGGAAATATTATTATTTTCTGCCGCTTGTTGCCGGTTTTCTTCCAAATTAATAATTTTTCAGATGAAATCCCTCAAATTCAAGGCACAATATTTTATTTTCTATAAGATACAGTGTTTTAGTGTAGTTTTTGCACACGTGCAGAAAATCCAAAGAAATAGTATACAGACTGGATCAAAGGTAAACTTAAATCTAATCCCTTTTTTTATCAAGGGTCGATTCTAGTAAAAACTCAAAACATTTTTATATGACATACCTACTCTATTTATGGTTGGTGTGATACCTGTTATTATACGTTTGAATTTCGATATTAAAAAATAATATTTAAGTTTTTCTACAACCACTTGTTTTTTTTATTAAATTAGTTTTTTTAGTTGTATTGTAGTCATGTACAAGGAGGACAACTGTATTTTAAATATTATATTTGATTTAACGTTTTTCAAACAGGGTTCATTAGACTATATTTCTACTAGGTAAATTATTTTGAAAAAAAAATTAAGAAAGTAACTTAAACATTCATAAAAATAGTGTAATTACGGTTGTAGATTCTTCGTTATATTGTAAACATTGAAATAACTGGAAGCTAAACTTTCTACCTGCTTATATTTAGAGCCAGTGTCTGAGGGTGCAGCCACACTATCCTAAAAACGGCGTATCGGCGTAACGGCGTAATGACCTTGAATAGATTTCCAGTAATTCTATTGGCTGAAACATTCATCTGTCAGAAATTTTATCTGTCAAATTCATCTGTCAAAAATTTCAGCCAATAGAATTACTGGAAATCGATTCAAGGTCGTTACGCCGTTACGCCGATACGCCGTTTTTAGGATAGTGTGGCTGCACCCTGACTATCTTTTTTTACGATGGCCCTAATATGTTTACTTCTGAAGTCGATAAGGGCGCCATATCAGTAGAAAAAAGAAACAGAATATCTCCCTTTTTGTCGGTCGCGCGTACACAATGCTTTTTGTTTGTTGTCTTCAACTTCGTTTTTTAGTTAACTCGGATATTTTAACATTTCTGAAACAATATTTTCTAATTGGTAAAACGTAAAAACTCTGTTAGAACTGGTCGTTCATCTGGCCGCAGCTAAAAACGCAATACATCCGGCCAGCCGACGGCCAGGTCGTTGCGACCTGGTCGTTAGTGAGTTCGAGCCCTAATAACTGAATCTGCTACACGTTCAATAACTTTCAAACGAGTCAGTTAAATGAAAAATCATATCAGATATTTTTTGAAGATCGTTCAATTTCCTAAAAGAATATGTATCGATGTTTACAACAATCTAGAAAGACATTATGTCAAAACTTGAATTATAGTGAGATTGTTGTGCATCTTAACAAAGGTATATTCAAGTATACTTATTACAGGTTCTTGTACAATATGAGAGATCTTTCCTAGGTAGGGTTTCCATAAAGGCTTTTGGAAATTCCGTGCAAATGAACTTAGAAATCCGGACAAAATCCGGACGTCCGTCGCAAAAATGAAACTATAAATTTATTTATGAACTTTTATAGGAGCCCTGGGATCAACAAAATATAAACCAAAAAAACATTCACTTTCCAGGAGTGCACCAAAAGCAAAAAATTTGAGCGCCAAATTATAGAAATAGGTACTTTCGAACTGACTGGAACGGTGAAACATAATCAACCGAGAGTAATAAAGGATAAAAATGGTACTTTAATCATTGATATTAAACAACACCTGCTTCGTTGGTCTGAATATATAAAAGACCTTTTTTACGATAATCGTCCGGACATGGTGCCCAGTTTCTCAGAAGCCACAGGTCCTACCACTTTGCGAGAAGAAGTATTACACGCAATTAAACAGATCAAGAGTGGTAAAGCGAATGGTCCTGATGAACTTTCAATCGAGCTTCTCAAACTTGTAGATGATGAAGCCATTGAAATTTGTTATATACACTACGGACATTATACCAAAGGATTGGTTAATGTCTAGTTTTGTACCGTTGCCCAAGAAACCCAATGCCAAAGAATGTTCCGACCATCGAACAATTGCCCTGATGCGTCACACACTGAAAGTGTTTTTGAGAATAATTTATAATAGAATTTTTGCTAAGGTAGACTCAGAAATCAGTGATAACCAAGTAGGGTTTAGAAGAGACATGGGTACGAGAGAGGCTCTGTTTAGCATAAATGTGTTAGCACAGGTGTATTGATATGAATCAGGACCTGTATGTCTGTTTTATAGATTTTGAGAAGGCTTTCGATAAAGTTCAACATCATAGACTAATTGAAATACTTAAAGGCATGAATATCGATAGCCGATATATCAGGATAATAGCAAATCTTTATTGGGGGCAAACAGCGAAGGTTATAGTGGACGACCAACTTTCTGATAAAGTAAAGATTCTGAACGGCGTTCGTCAAGGATGTATACTTTCTCCGCTATTGTTTAATATATATAGCGAATCAATTTTTCGGGAGGCCTTGACTAGTAGAAAGGAGGGCATCACTATTAATGGGCAGGTCTTAAATAATATGCGGTTCGCGGACGATACCGTCCTTATAGCAGACAACGTGGAGGGTCTGCAAACACTACTACAAAGACTAAACAACATGTGTAGAGTCTATGGCCTGAAAATGAACCCTAAGAAAACAAAATTTATGATCATCACTAAGAGAGAAGATGTCCAAGCCAATGTTTTAATAGATGATACACCTATGGAGAGAGTACAAAAATATAAATATCTAGGCAGTTGGTTGACCGAAAACTTAGATCAATCAGCAGAAATAAAAGCTCGAATAGAAATAGCTATAGCAGATTTTGTAAAACTCAAAAAATGTCTCTGCAGTGGAGACATCAACTTAAAGCTTAGATTAAGAATGCTAAAGGGTTACATATTTGCAACTCTACTCTATGGTTCAGAGGCTTGGACACTTAAAAAGGCTGAAATGGAGAAGCTTGAGGCATTCGAAAGATGGTGTTATCGGCGTATGCTGAGGATTGCATGGACTGACAAGGTTACAAATGTAGAACTGCGACGCAGAATTCAGAAGGATGAAGAGGTGATTAACACTCTTAAAAAAAAGAAAACTTGAGTACTTTGGACACTTAATGAGAGGACCTAAATATGCCCTACTGCAGAACATAATAGAAGGAAAGATAAAGGGCAGAAGGAGCCAAGGAAGAAGAAGAACATCTTGGCTCAAGAATTTGAGAGAATGGTTTGGAATGACTTCAAACCAGTTAATCAGAGCAGCCGTTAACAAAGTTAGAATTGCCATGATGATTTCCAACCTCCATTAGGAGATGGAACCCGAAGAAGAAGACTTTCGAACATGCGTTGGTTAAGTAGAGCTGTAGCATCGTAGAAACTAAAATATTCATCAAAGTAACTGAGAAATGAATTCAACTGTAACTGTAAAATATTTTGCAGTTTTGTTAAGTTAAATTGTTTTTGCGGTCAGGTATCCCGGACGCTTTTCCAAATCCCGGCCGGACAGTCCCGGACACTTTAAAAATCCGTACATGTCCGGGTAAATCCGGACGTATGGAAACCTAGGCTAACATTTGTCGTAACGTTCTACGATTTAAAACCAAATAATTAAATAATTTTTATCACTGTAAAGTAACATCTCTCAATATTTTTCGTATTATTTATTTCATGAAATATGTGTGATTTGAAGTGTTTAATGTTTTCTAAATTAAGTACGTACCTAGAATAAGTATTTATTAAAGCATATAACATACTCGATGTACCTGAATTATTTTTTAAATTTTTTATGAGTTTTTTTCCTCTCAATTCAAGCAACTTAAGTGTGAACCATTTTTATCAGTTTAAAAACAAAACACTTAAATAATTTTTTTATATTTTAAAATTCGAAATAAATATTTTTTCTGCGTATTCATTGTACTTAAATTTGATGATAATATTTGTCCATCTTTTTTTATTTCTTCTTTATCCAACGAGTACTAAAGTCAAGTTTATAACAAACCCAGCTGCTAAATGCGAATTGGGAATTTAAGTTTTAAACGTCATTTGATTCTCCAATAACAACTGTGAAATATTTGATTAATGTTGAATTCTATAATGCTTCATTCATAAACTCGCAATTAGTGGAATAAATTAATTTAATTACACTTTATACTTTCTAGTTTATGATCATTCACAACGTTTAAAAAGCACAATTAAAATTAATCGAATATCCTAGCAACAGTTTGCGTTAGTCAGCTGTATCCATAGAGAAAGCCAAATATTCAGCTTATAAAACAATCAACTTTGATTTCTAACAACAATTTCTCTTGACGGAAGATAATGAAAGGCCAAAATTACATTTCTCGCAAATTTTGAAGTATAATGAGTGGAAAAGTTTGATAATTTTTTCTACTAATTGAAAATTTCTACCACGAAATTTGACGTTCTGAATGCTTACATTGAAATTAAAGGAACAAACTTCTACGCTAATTAAAACCACTAATTTATTCCACTAATTGCGAAGTTCCGAATGAAGAAGCTTCATTCAGATCCTTCAAATCGCTAACAATTCCATTAAGTGCGAGGTTCTGAATGAAGCATAAAGCAGTTAAAATGTTTAAATATATTTATTTACCCAATGAATTGCTTCCTCTCCATACCATCTCCATGGATTTATTTGCCAGTCTTATTTTTTGGTCCTCGAAATCTATTCTACCCAGAATGACGCCATCATAGCCAAGTTGAGCGAAAATGGAAGCCATTTCGCTACTGTGACCGAAGGGATCAATTTGCCAGCCAATTTTTGGACGACCACATTCGCCAAAACAGTCATTCAATTTCCTATAATGATCAAATTTATTGCAATATATTAGGAATATTAAAATTTACTAGCTCTAGCTAATAGACATAATAACTACAGCGTGTCCAGCAAAAGAATATATCACGGAGACAGTTGATTTATGTCATTAATAATGACACATACCAACTGTTATTATGACTCATTATAATTTAACTGTCATCTGTCGAATATATTCTTTTAGTGGACATATTATACGTAGGTACCTAATAATATGGAATAAATTAAATGTAATATTCAATATTCACTCTACGAGAGTGTTGTTTGTTATTTAGATTCTCCTTATGATAAAACAAAAACAAAAAAATCCTTTTTCTGTACTTGTATACAAGGTCCGGCAATAGTGCGTCGCGTCGGGCATTTCTATAGCTTCTAGAATAAAAAAATTGAGAATTTTGTTTAAGTGCAAACCTAAAGTATGTACGAGGATGTATTTCAGGAAAATATTTTAACTTCTATAGGGTGACTCGGTGAAAAGTGTGAGTGGATCGGGATGACTTTTTTAATTGGAACACCCTGTATATTATTGCATTTTTGGCTTCACTTCAGATCACTTTACATAATCCTGAGATAAGTGAGTAAATATATTTCGATAATTTCAGAGTTATTATTAAATAAATAAAAAATATATATTTTTAACCTTCTTTAAAAAAATTATTACAAATACAAGAACCTGTCCTGAAATCAAAATATATTAGGTATTTACTTTAGTTGGTCTATACTTACTTTGATATTAATTACTTTGATCGTAATCGTAAATCATACAGGGTGTTCAAAATTCTACGCCAAGCTTTCTAAAATATAAAATATATTTTCTCTATTTTTTTGAATTGGACAAACTGTATATTATTTTTTTATTAGATGGAGAGTTAAAAAATAAACATTTTTTGTATTTCAAAGTTTTTAACGGTTTCGCAGATACACGCAGTATTATTTCATATGGCTCTTTCCACGGTAAAATACGAGAGAAAAATCATTAGGTGGTTTTGATAAAAATTTACTGTAGAAAATGCCATATAAAATATAAAACCGCTAATATTTGCGAAACCATTAAAATTTTTGTATATCTTAGGATTATGTAAAGTGATTTTGAAAGGAAGCCAAAAACACAATAACATACAGGATGTTCGATTAAAAAAATCATCCAGATCCACTCACGCATATTTTTGAGCGATCCTATAGAAATTAAAATATTTTTCTGAAATACATCCTCGTATATACTTTGGATTTGCACTTAAACAAAATGTTCAAGTTAGGTTAGGTTAGGTTATTATACCAGGAGCTGCAGACGCCCGACTCACTTTTGCCGGATCTTGTATAGATGTCTTTAATGTGTAATTTAAAAAAAATGTAATTAAGTAATTTTTCTATCGATAATATTATATTATTTATTATTTTTTAGACACTGAGATTAACTACTTTGTCTATATTTATAATAAAGACTAATAAGAGGTTTAGTTTTCAGCCAAGCACATCTGCACGCGATTTGTAGGTAGTACTTATAATATTTCCTGTATCTATATATCAAAACAGTTTTATATCTAACCAAATTAATGTTAAATGTATTATAATATGTAATAAATATGTGTAATAAATGTATAATATATTTAAATATCCTTAAAATGATTTTTTTTTAAATTGGTTATTCTTTATTCTACTATGTTTTACATAGAAAAATTAAATTGTTACTATCTCTGAAACTTGTTTATTTTTAATTCAGGTAATGATGTAAACTTAAAAAATATATTCAAAATTTAATATTTTACATATTTTTTTTAGTTGTTTCGCTTGTAATAAACTTGTTATTGATTTGTATAATTTTAACTTTCAAGTAGTATAAACTTGATGAGAACTTTGGGTTGATATATAAATCTTTCAAGAGATATATGTATGTATAATCTTAAGTACCATTTAAATCTATCTATAAATAGCAGTGAAAAGCTTAAATATGTATTATATTCTCTTGGAATTATAGAAAAGTTGATTTATTATTCGTTAAATATTTAGTAAACCATTTTTTTATATAAAAGTTTAATATTTATTTTATCTTAAAACAAAATATAAGATTATATTGTTTTAGCTGTAATAAATAATTTAATTTCAATGATTTTTTGTATTCAACCTTGCAAATATACATAGTTAAATGTAACTGTTAATATGAATATGTAAATGTACCTATAAAAATAGAATCATGAACTTTGAGACTCAATTTAACTATTACTCTGTGAAATGGAAAACTGATTACAGATTACAGACACACTGGAATTTTAAATCTCCTGAAAAGCATTGAAAAATAATTGCTATTTAAATATCTAATAAAAGTAATTTAGACTACAGAGAAGTGTGATTAAAAGTTGCAGTTGTTACTGTATAGATACACATAATATTTAAAATTGTACTTTTTAAAAATTAGTGATTTATGGTCTACAGTTTGTTCAAGGAGAGGATATGGAGAAGATTTAAAAATGACAGTTGTCTGACACTTTATTAATTCAAAATTTGATTATTTTTTAGCCGTAATTTTGGTTATTTATTGGGTAAAACTATAATATGTGCAAAATTTAGGAGGTAATTTCTTTTTTAAAAATATGGGAAATTTTATAAGGGCATTTTCAATTTTTCGATTTAGCGGCAAGGTTAATGAATCTCCAAACGTCATTTCGCTAAAGGTGCGTCCAGACCTGACGAGACGAGAGCGAGACGAGAGCGAGGCAAGAGCGAGACAAGAGCAAGACTAGAGAGGGACGAGAGCGAGACATCTTCTATCCATTTTTTGAGGCAAGCCTGCCACGAGACAAGCGAGTTGGATCATAGGGTGAGGAACCCAAACACATATTAAATTGTAATTAAATATAACAAACGATGGTCAAATAATAGCGCATACAGTAATAAATTTTTATATTTTTAACATGGTATTTGGTACGTCCTATTTTATTCATCGTCGGTTTTTTCCCTTTTGGTTGTTTTCCCCTTTAACCCTTCATTTGTTTCTAGACAAAACTTTTTTGTCTTTTACAAAATACGTTTTTAGAACAAAATGTTAAATTGAAAAGTTATAGGGAAGATTAAGAAACATTTTTAAAATTACTGTAGAGCATACAGGGTACTTCAAAAAAGTGTAGCGGATATAACATATATTTTTTAATGAGAATACCCTATTTTTTATTTTATAATTAGATTCTAAGTATGTACAGTTCGGTAACTTTTTTTGCATGTAATATTATACAGGGTGAGTTTCCTACGATGTTCTCTATGGGTTTCTCGGAAACTACTGGAGATAGAGAGTCGGTTAAATGGGGAAAGAATTGCAGTTTTATGGGGCCATAAATATGCGCCTTTCAGATTTTTGAAAAAGTTCATGGTTTACTAGATATTTCGAAAAAAAAAATTTCGACTATTTTAAAAATTGTCCGTAATTCCATTATAAGCTATTTTAAACAAAAAGTTTTCAGATAAAAGTTGTAGATAATCACATCCTTAACGAGACTGTGTCCTCCGTTTTTTTTTCTAAAGCCTGTCATTTTTGACATATGACACAAACATAGGTTTTTTTAAATGGAAACCATAGTTGGCCATGACTTCATAAAAAGCGCCATTTTTTAAGCTTTTTAGTGATGTAAGCTATAATATCTTTTCTTCGAAAAATTACTGAGTTATAGCCAATCATTTTTAAACAATTTCACTTAGTTAGCCATGAAACAAGTTCAATCGCCGTTGCTCTCAGAAATGTGAAGCTGTCACATCCAAACTTTGTAAAATTAAAATAAACAAAAATTGTAAATATGAATTTTTCAAATGAAGAAAAGCGTGTAGATACTCGCGTATCAATAGAGTGGTTCCAACATGACTTTCATTATGACACACCACCTCCCACCCCCCATAATGAAAAAATGTTAAAATTATTTATATCATAATTATACAAACGCAGGGATAGGAAGAGGTGGACTAATTGTATGGGCCTCCCAGATGACCTGACCTATCCATTTTAGATTTTTTTATGCGGTATAGTTAACAATAATGTTTACAAAAGAACTTATGAATTAAGAGAGGCCCTCGAAGTGGTGGTATGAGAAAAGTTTAATTAAATGGACCGGTCCTTCTGTGAGAATAGGTAGTAATTCAGTTTTAAAAAGATGCAACTCAAAATAATGGCGGATTTTTTGAACATTTTCTAAAATAACTTAAAGTGTATGTGTTATATTATTTTTTTAAGTTTTAGTTTGTGTAATGTAAATTGTAAAGAACCGTTTAGTAATATATTCTCACTTTTTATAAGTTATAAATTATAACAGAATAAGAATAAAATGCAATCTAAGTGAAATTAGTCAAGAAAGATAAAAATTGGCTATAACTAAATTTAACTTTTCTAACATGTCTTAAAAACCGTTCTCTAAAAAACGTAACATTCACCGGTCAACGTATCTTCGAAAATAAATGTATGGTCAAGAAAAGTTGAAGCAATAATCGTACACGCTTTTCTTCATTTGAAAAATTCATATTTACAATTTTTGTTTATTTTAATTTACAAAGTTTGGATGTGACAGCTTCACATTTATGAGAGCAAAGACGATTAAACTTGTTTCCATGGCTAACTAAGTGAAATTGTTTAAAATGATGAGAATTGGCTATAACTCAGTAATTTTTCGAAGAAAACATATATTATATCTTATATCGCTGAAAAGCTTAAAAATGGCGCTTTTTATGAAGTCATGACCAACTATGGTTTCCATTTAAAAAAAACATATGTTTTGTCATATGTCAAAAATGACAGGCTTTAGAAAAAAACGGAGGACACAGTCTCATTAATCTGATTAATCTAATTTTATCTGAAAACTTTTTGTCTAAAATAGCTTATAATGGAATTAGGGACAATTTTTAAAATAGCCGAAATTTGTTTTTTTCGAAATATCTAGTAAGCCATGAACTTTTTTAAAAATGAGAAAGGCGCATATTTATGACCCCACAAAACTGCAATTCTTTCCCCATTTAACCGACTCTCTGTCTCCAGTAGTTTCCGAGATACCCATAGAGAACATCGTAGGAAACTCACCCTGTATATCTAAAATTAATAGATTTTGTAATAATTCAATTTGTTTAAAGAAATGTTAGATTTCGATAGGTACGGTAAAATTACCGAATATTTAATTAAATAATATAATTAATCTTAGTAGATACTATCAGTGACGCAAAATTTGTAAATTCTATCAGAAAAAAATGATAATAGATACGGTGTACCATTTACCATTTAAAAAATTTGAGATTATTTAACTTTAAATAGTCGAAATTTATAAATCAGAGCTAATATCTCGCAGCCGAGCGAGCCTACCAAAAACGGACTGTGCCGCGAGAATTCTTTGATCGGCCGTCGCAAAACCGACAGTGGACGGATAGCAATGAGGCTCCGTAGCCGTGGGTTGTCTCGCGAGGCTCTTGCGAGACCCGTCCACACTTAGCGAATTTGGAATGTATCGCGCTCGTCTCGTCAGATCTGGACGCACCTTAAGAGATAGGAGGCAATGAAAAAGCAACGATCTAGCTAAAAAGGAGCGAACACTCCACTAACTGACCAGAACCGTTCTGCTTCCCAGATGGAAACCTACTTAAAGCAGAACTCAAGAACCTGGAAGACTCAATTCATAACCTGGAATGGAAATTCTTCAAAGGTCTAAGACACTCGAAGACTTACGACCGAGAAAAATCAAAGATTATCCTTGATTGAAGTAAGCACAATCTTCGGATTATCACGGAGTTTTTAACAAGACACTGTCTCCTCTGTGAACACTTCAGTAGATTGAAGCTAAGAAACAACGGCGTATGAAGATTCTGTATGGAAAATAAAGAAACAGCAGAACTCCTCATCACTGAGTGTACCGAACAACAACCATTCGTATCATAAACTTTGGTACGAATGATATCGGAGATGGAGAACTAACCCCTGTAAAACGTTTCAGATACTGGCTTTTGTCAAAGCCCTGAGACTGTATAATGAGTTATAGCTCAAGAAATGGGGACAACGGACAACAATAGATCTATAAGATCGCGGTACGTAACTTACCCCCTCCCATACAATCTACAATTATTTACCTTAGTCCCCATGTCATCTGATCCACTATAGATTGGTAATTGGTTACCGCCTCGTCGTTCATAGACCAACCACCCCTATGAATTCTATCTGTCCATTATTAACCAACTCCTTCAGTATATTTCTCTCTCGTTCTTCTTGTTCTTGCCACCATTTCCAGAAAAAGGCGGTTTCAACATAAATGAATCTAGAAATATTACTTGCTTAAATTTTGAAAAAACTTCAGTAATTTTTATACAGGATGTCCAGAAGTAAGTGCAAGTATTTTAAAGGGTGGTAGATCTCGATAAAAGAAACATATTTTCTCTTCATCGTTTTTCAAATAAGTCCAAAATAACGGAGTTATTTTACTTTGAAAATTTCAAAAAAAATGATATTTTGCTAAAATGTTGAGAACCACTGGATCTTTACTGGATTTTCTTTCTTGTAAATTTAATCTAATACCTATGTTGTCATATTATCAAGAAATTATGGTTTTTAACTAAAAACTAAAAAATTTCCAAAACATTTTTCAAAAAATCTCGAATTTTCAAAAGTTTTTTTTTCGCAAAAAAACCTCATAAGAGTTTTTCTGGGGTTGAACTATACTACCAGTTAAAATACTTGCACTAATTTCAGGAACACCCTGTATAGCAACTAACACATTAAAACTACTTATTTGATCTTTCACCTGCCTATTTAAAAAATTGATAAGTAAATATAGTATGATAATTATTTTTATTCAAACACACAATTCTTTTGTGTCGTTTATCGAATTTATAGTTGGTCTACTGAATAAACCTGTATGTCCCCGGATTGTCTTTTATAAGAGCTCGAACACACTGACGACCAGGTCGCACCGGCCAGGCCGCAGCTACCTCTAAAACCATTAAATCAAATGAAATAGCGCACTAACGTCCTGGCTGTCCGTTTGTCGTTGCGACCAGAAGACTGCACGGAAATATTATTATTTTCTGCTGCTTGTTGCCGGTTTTTCTTCCAAATTAATATTTTTTCAGATGAAATCCCTCAAATTCAACGCACAATATTTTATTTTCTATAAGATATAGTGTTTTAGTGTAGTTTTTGCACACGTGCAGAAAATCCAAAGAAATAGTATACAGACTGGATCAAAGGTAAACTTAAATCTAATCCCTTTTTTTTATCAAGGGTCGATTCTAGTAAAGACTCAAAACATTTTTATATGACATACCTACTCTATTTATGGTTGGTATGATACCTGTTATTATACCTTTGAGTTTCGATGTTAAAAAATAAAAAAATAATATTTAAAGTTTTTCTACAACCACTTGTTTTTTTATTAAATTAGTTTTTAGTTGTATTGTAGTCATGTACAAGAAGGACAACTGTATTTTAAATATTATATTTAATTTAACGTTTTTCAAACAGGGTTCATTAGACTATATTTCTACTAGGTACATTATTTTGAAAAAAAATTAAGAAAGTAACTTAAACATTCATAAAAATAGAAGTAATTACTGTTGTAGATTCTTCGTTATATTGTAAACATTGAAATAACTGGAAGCTAAACTTTCTACCTGCTTATATTTAGAGCTAGTGTCTGACGATCTTTTTTTACGATGGCCCTAATATGTTTACTTCCAAAGTCGCGCCATATCAGTAGAAAAAAGAAACAGAATATCTCCCTTTTTGCCGGTCGCGCGTACACAATGCTGTTTGTTTGTTGTGATTAGCAACTTCGCTTTTTAGTTAACTCAGATATTTTAACATTTCTGAAACAATATTTTCTAATTGGTATAATGTAAAAAATCGTTAGATTTGACAACTCTGTTGAAACTGGCCATTCATCTGGCCGCAGCTAAAAACGCAATACATCCGGCCAGCCGACGGCCAGGTCGTTGCGACCTGGTCGTCAGTGAGTTCGAGCCCTAAGAGGAAAAGCCTTTTTTAGTATTGGCATTTTGAGAAAAATGCTTTCTTCATAAAAATATTTTGCTTGTTCTAAAATGGTTATCACGTTTATACTTTTTTAGAAAAAAGTATAAAGAAAGTTAGAGAATTTTTTTTAGAAAAAATTAAGAAAAACATATGGTGAAATTTTTATTATTTAGAAACGCCTTTTAATTCTTAGGACTTCCCGGTGGAAAAAATTCCACCATATTTTCATGTTTTTATTAATTTTCTCTAAAACGGTCTGGAAATTTGGAAAAGTATAAACGGGATTAACCATTTTAAAACACGCAAAAATGTTTATGAAGAATGTCTTTTTCTCAAAATGTCAACAATAAAAAAGGTTTTCCTCTAGTAAAGACAATTCGGGAGCATACTGTATATAAATTACCGTATGATCGAAAAAATTGCGTTAAGTCACTTTAGAAATGGGGATCGATGACATCAAGTTAAACTGACAACACTTTCTTTTCGATAATTTGGTATATTATTTGTTTGTGATATATATATTTTAACAGAATTTTTTAGCAAAGCAATAAATTTTGTCTATTGCCTTTTTATATTGTATTTTACTTTTGAAAGAACAATTTAATATAATACCACAGATAACACATGTGTTATCTGATAATACCCTGAATATCTGCGAAACCTTAAAAATTTGAAAAAAATTACAGTGTTTTTAAATTCTACATCTAAAGAAATTGTTATTTTTGGAGTGTTCCATTTAAAAAGTCAACAAAATTAATTTTATATTTTAATAATTTTGGCATTAAATTTTTCACTCCCTGTACAATTTACGATTACCAAATTAATAATAAAGTAAGTACAGTCATTAGTGTAGTAAATATCTATTATGATATGGTTTTGGTTTCGGGTATTAATTTGTAATTTTTTTTCAGTGATAACCCATATGCACGTCCCTGGTGTGTACATATTATTATGTCGACACTTTTTTTAGCTTTAAAATATGTCGCTTTTATACCTAGTAATTTTTACCCCCAAAATTTCATTCGAAACGCTAAAAGGACTTGGTTGAACTTGGAAGAAAATTATAATAAATCGAAAAAATATTAAGATTTTAACACCCTGTAGCTACGAAAGAAATTAGAATCGGACATATGCTGATATGAAAAATAAATCTTATTTTTACGTGAGGAATATCTCCACGAGAGATGGCACATGTTTTATGAAACACCCTGTATATGTATAGTTATAATATTTAAAAAATATATTACTTTCTATCTGGCCTTTTCTGGACAGACTTCAGCACACTATCGTAAATAAACTGAACTCCTGCTGTGTAGACATCAGATTTAGCTGAAAAATAGCGTTTCTAATATTTACATTCAAAAATATTGTAGTCCTAATATCTTACTTCCGTAATAAAACTGGTCTACTGTTTTGACCCATCCTACGTCATCGTGACTATGAGGCACCAAATGAACATTCACATATCCCTCCTTAATTGGAACACATGACTGAATCCCAACAAAAATTGACTTAATTTTTTAAATTTATTTCTAAATCGTTACTTACACTGTAGCCGCATTTTTTCTCGTTTTTTACACTGTCACTATGATTTATTGGATTGCACTTCGCACAGTTAAATGTCAAAAATAAAGAAACAAAAGCAATCACCTTCCACATATTTCTAAAAATGTTATTAAACGAACTAATGTTTTGAGAAATACTGTTTTCTAAATCGAAGCAAAAGCGTTATTGATCGTCATACAATTAAGATTATATCGGCACTCTTAAATATAGTTAAACAGCTAATCTAGAGCACTTCTCTTGTCGATTTTTATTAAATACTTTTCCAATCGCACTGAACTAATATCATTTCAATTGGTTGTATCTTCAGTATTATTTGACTATAAGAGAAATAAAACATTTATGGTACGTTTTATTTCCTTCTGAATTCTGAGAGAACTGTGTAAAACACTTAATAACAAATTACAGTATCGCTGACCGTCTACTTACTAAAAATATTCAAATTTGCTTCAGTTTAAAAAAATAGAATTTTGCGCTCTTTCACACTGCTGCCCTCTGTATCGAAAATATTCAACTAAATTCAATGTCACACGCAGCGCTGCCATCAGAAGCGCAGGTCCACGCTAAACAGTTGGCAACACAGATCACACGTGCGCTTTCATCTGACAGTTCGACATAACCAAACTTTTTAAGTGCTACAGAAAAATATGTAAACATGTCTCGTTTAATAATTAAAAACTTACCAAAATCCGTGCGTATTATTATTAAAATCTATTTGTTTGTTTACTATAAACTCGGTTTTAGATATCTGAAGATAAGATTCGAGAATTGTTTACAGAATATGGAACAATCACAGATATTCAACTCAAATACACCCCGGAAGGTAAATTTCGAAAATTCGCATTTATTGGGTTTCAAAATGAGAATCAAGCTGCAGAGGCCATTGAACATCTTCATCATACTTTTATAGCAACTAGTAAAATATCTGTTGAGCAATGTGCTTTATTAGGTAAGGTAATTATCTTTTCAAGTTCAAAATTTCATGTATTCTCTGTTATAGGAGATTCGAATAAACCTAAAGCTTGGAGCAAATATGCCCCAGATAGTACAGCATACAAGAAGACTCATAAAGCAGAAATCAAAGATGAAGAGGTTAAAGAAAAAACAGTTAAGCCAAAAAAGGATATTGAAGCTGAGCTTTTAGAAAAAGTACGTTTAACATTTTTGTTATACAGTAGAATAAAAAATAATATTTTTAGTATAAAGATGATCCTATGTTTGAAGAGTTTTTACAAATTCATGGTGACCAGGACAAGTTGACTAAGCTAAAACAAAAACCATTAAAAGTGGACAGTGATGATTCAGGAGCACATTCAGATGTTGATCAATCTGATGAAAATGACAGAGGTTCAGATTTGGAAGAAGCGCCTAAAGAAAAATTAGCCGAAAAACCAATTTCTGATATGGAATACATGAAATCTTTAATGAAGGGTTCAAAGGTTGAAGATAGTTCAGACGAAACTGTGGAAAAGAAACCCAGGCAAAAAATGGAGAAAAAGATCAAGGAAAAAGTTACATTATTTACATTAAAGGTATGTTTAGTAAATATTTTATGCTGTCTCTATATATTTGTATTGTTTATAGTTGAAAGATCTACCCTACAAAATTAAGAAGAAAGATATCAGAGAATTTTTTAGACCAAATGTCCCGTTTAGTATAAGAATCCCTAGACAAATACACGGTATAGCGTTTGTAGGTTTCAAAACAGAGAAAGCATTTAAAAAGGCTTTATTAAAGGATAAAAGTTTTATCAGTAAGCTTAAATTCTTACTATCTTTGAATTTTGAGAATTAAAATTTACTTTGCAGAAGGTAAGCAAATACTAGTTACAAAGTATGAAGTTAAAAATTCAAATGATTTGAACATGGATCCTAAAAAGAGTAAATGGAAAAATCAAGAGGAGGCTTTGAAAAATGAGGAAGATATTGCTGAGTCTGGAAAGATTTTTATACGAAATTTGGCATATACAACAACTGAAAAGGAGATTGAAGATCTATTTTCTAAATACGGTATGTTTTGTATATTTTAAATGTTTACATTATTAGTATTGCTTTTTGTTATGTAGGCCCACTCACAGAAATTAATCTACCAGTTGACAATACAACAAGAAAAATGAAAGGTTTTGGAGTGGTAACTTTTATGATGCCTGAACATGCAGTAAAGGCATATTCAGAATTGGATGGTTCAATATTGCAAGGTAGAATGGTGCATTTACTTCCAGGCAAAGCTAAAGACAAAACCGATGATAATTTGGATGGTAAATACTGCAAAACCATATTGTTCCATCTAGTTATTATTTGTTTTCATTAGATGCATCGAATTTTAAAAAGAAAAAACAAGCCAAGCAGAAATCTCAAGCTGGCTCATCACATAATTGGAATTCATTGTTTTTGGGCCAGGATGCTGTTGCAGAGGTGATAGCTGATACTTACGGCACTTCAAAAGAAGCCATTGTAGGGCCTGATAGTAAAGGAAGTGCTGCAGTTAGATTAGCTCTTGGAGAAACACAGATCGTGGCACAAACCAGAAAGTATCTTGAACAGCAAGGAGTATTACTAGATGTGTTTAATTCAGTAAGTTTATTATATTTAAATCTTAATCTTAAGCGCAAACCAAATGTGGGTACTAGGATATATTTCAGGAAAATATTTAACTTCTACAGGGTGGCTCAAAAAGTGTGAGTGAATCAGAATGATTTTTTTAATGTAACACCTTGTATATTATTGCATTTTTGGCTTACTTTCTGATCACTTTACATAATCTTAACATAGATATAAACTAGATCTTACTTTACATATATATAAATACATAAAAAATATGTTTTTCAGCCTGTTTTAAAAAAAATAATAAAAATGTTCTGAAATCAAAACTGTACTACGTATGTATTTGCTATAGTTCGTTATATTTACTTTGCTATAAATATTGTAAACTTAAATCATACAGGGTGCTGTTCAGAATTTGACGCTAAACTTTCTAAAATATAAAATACATTTTCTTCGTTTTTTCTTATTAAAATGGAACACCATGTATATTATGTTTTTTGTTAGTTGGAGAAATTTTTTAACGGTTTCGCAAATGTTCTCGGTATTATATTGCATATGGCCTTTTCAACAGTATTTTTAGCAAAGCTACCTAGTGATTTTTGTCTGGTATTTTACTGTTGAAAGAGCCAAATGTAACATTACCGCGATTATCTGTAAAACTATTAAAAATTGTAAAATACTTTAAATATAAAAAAAATCATTCTCCATCTAACAAAAAATAATATACAAAAACAAAGAAACATAATTTTATATCTTAGAAAGTTTGAACATGGGATTTTGAACATTCTGTATGATTTAAGATTACAATATTTATAATAAAGTAAGTACAGACCAAGTATAATAAGTAACTAGTATAGTTTTGATTTCAGCATATCTACATCTTATATTTTTAATATTTTTTTTTTAAATAAAACTATATTTTTTTCATTGATTTATTTATATCTCCGAACACAAGTTCAGTAATATCTTAGGACTATGTAAAGTGATGAAGAAAAAAACCAATAATACAATAATATACAGGGTGTTCCATTTAAAAAAATTCCTGATCCACTCTTATATTTTTAATATTTTTTTTTAAAAAAGGAAACTATATTTTTTCATTTATTGATTTTTATATCTACAAACACAATTTTATTAATATACAAGGATAATATCACAGATTATACAGATTATAAACTTTGTTTCTTGTTTATTGTTTTTCGTGGTTCCAATTTTCAGAATCGGGCACTAGTTAGGTTACTAGTTTGCGCACATAGCACGCCCACTTATGGCCTCTAAAATTGTGCACAGCGCCTGACCGGCACAGTTATTAGAGAGATATCGGAAAACCGAATAGCGTCATGCATTATTTACGCTACGATATGCGCGAATCAATTTTTAACGGAACACCCGCTAATAACATTACCGCCTGACGTAATTTGCGGATCAATTACACCAAGCGCTATTTCTAAATAACGTTTAAAAATTGCTTAAATGGGCATGTGCGGGTATTTGACAACCGGGGCCGGCCGGCGAGATCTTTTATTTTAGGTTATGTTTGAATTGTTTTGAATTTACGCAATTACTTTAGTTTTATTAGGTAATTTGATATTTAAGTAGCTGGGATTAGTTTTAATTAAATAAATATGGCCCAAAATATGGATTCCACCTCTTCCAATTTTATTGTTTTTTTATTAAAGAATCTATAAAGAGGCTTAGGTTTACAGCAGATGGCGACTTAAGAAAGCCCTTCTAAGAGAATTTGTTGCTTGTTGCGCTAAACCCACTGGCAGACGTTGAACAATAAAGCACTGGAAATAAGCACTTTAGCCCTTTAGTTTTAAAATACCTAGTAAACAAAACAATTCCAAAGTTTTAAATTCAAAGTTAAGTTAAGTTTAAATAGCGGACGCGACGCGAATAGAATTCTTTCCGATCCGATAACATAAATGAAGAGAGTTAATACCACCTCACGTAAAGGAAATAACACCTGGCCTTATTAACGTCCACGCTATTCGGTTTAGCGATATCTCTCTATTACGCTGTTCATTGTTATTTTACGCGAGTTTATTTTTGCGCACAGGAAATTTTACTCGTTTGCACATCGTCATAAAAAACCATTTTCGTACAACGAATTACGGATAAGATTTTTATCTGTATACATATAGTATACCTAATCTGTGATAATATCTTAGGACTATGTAAAGTGATGTAAAAAAACAAAAATACAATAATATACAGGGTGTTCAATTAAAAAAAAAATCCTGATCCACTCACTTTAGTACGTATTTTGGGTATGCACTGACTAAAACAAAATTCAAGACCATGTACTTATGAACTTGTGTATCTATTATAGTATTGTGATAATTACAGGAACCCAAATCTAGATCAAAGACTTTAATTTTAGTAAAAAATTTACCGTCAAAAACTGAAGCAAGAGAAATAAGAGACATATTTCAGAAACATGGGGAAATTGATAGGGTCATTTTACCACCAAGTGGAATCACAGGTAATTTGTTCTTTTAATTTCCCTTCCAGCTTTTTGATAAACTTCTTTTTTTTATAGCAATAGTTGAATTTCTGGAACCGTCAGAGGCTAGAAAAGCTTACACAAGGTTGGCTTATTCTAAATTTAAAAACGTTCCATTATATTTAGAATGGGCACCTGAAAATACACTTTCAGCAAATAAATCTGGTACTGTTGAAAATGATGTACGTGCTACAAAGGATCATGAAGTAACAGAGTTAAAAGAAAATGAAGCAGTAATGGAAGAAACAGAAGAAGTTGATGAAGAGCCAGAGCCGGAAGCAACAATTTTTGTAAAGAATTTAAATTTTAAAACTACAGATGAGAATCTTAAAAAAGTATGTTTTCAAATTATCAGTTATTAGCTTTATATTAATAATCCAGTAATATTAAGATTTAAACCCGACAAAATTCAGAAAGTTTTGAAAATTGGTAGGTATTTTGGGGATAACATGAGGATTACTAAACCGAAAAGTTCCCACCCCTAAATAGTGTGCGTCATCCCCCAGGACATTGTTTTTACCCCCATTTTGAGTTTTTTAGACAATCTCGGCAACGGTGCAATTCTCGACAAAAATACCTATATAGAAAATTGTTCTTCGTAAAATTCTCTATCAAAAAGATAATTACACTTTTTTTCTAAAGTTAATAATAAAGTGGGCGCAAATATAAGGGTTGGTTATGACTAGCACTATCTGCAGTTCAATCTAATAATAAAAGTTTAAATGTTTAACGCTAACAAAAAGCAGTAACCACTAAATTATACTTAGAATTTTAATATACGTTCTTCTCTCACACTCCTCTACCCCTATAAAAAGGGTGATTTGTACTTATTTCCACATCACCTTAGAGGTAAAGTATTTGATGCGTTTTTTTTTAAATGGTATCCCCTGTAGGCCTAATTCACTAATTATCAAATGTTAACTAGTAATCTTCGTCATCTTCCACAGGTTCAACATTCAAGCATGACTGTCCATGGCAATGATAACACATTGTAGAGCAACGCAAGCCTGCTCTTCTGCAGCTACATCTGTATTCGCACCCTAATTTGCATAAACATGAAATAAGCTTTAAAACAGATGCGGGGGCTGGCTCTTTATTTGTCATTGTTGGGGTTAATATACCGCCAACTTTTTTCCACTCCCAGTCGGTAGGATCGAGCATAACTCCTCTCCATGTTTGAATTTGGTGAAAAACCCGATACGAGTGTTGCCGAGCTGCAGCAGAAGTTGGTAGTTTTGACAAAATGAGAATGTTGTTGGCTTTACCAACAAGTTTGTTGAAGTACATAAATCGGTATTTATCTAGACTGCTTTCTGCTGAGGTAGAGTTGTATAAAGCTAAAATAAATTGCTCTCCTGCGTTTGCAATTTCTTCATGAGTAGATTTCTCATTATTGAAAGTTTGTACAATATGTTGTAAATCACTTCTTTTAGCGAATACATTGATTGCATTAAACTTTCCTTTGGAAAAAAAGCCGAGGTTGTATCACAACCGCTAATAGCGTGTACAAATAATATAGTGTTTTTACAATTTTTTAAAACAGTTGCGGATTGTAAATCTTGAGAACTGTAAATCTTTTTGCAAGTATTACCCTGTTTTCCTTTTAAAAATTTGATATCTTTGTTAGAGGGAGAAAGTGCAATAAGAAGAACTAGCAGGTCAATATCTTGCCCTACTGTAACAGGTGTATCGCAATTATTAGATTTTTCTATAGCAGATTTGATTAATAATAATAAATCGGCGTCATCCGCAGCTACAAATACTTCTATACCTTCTTTCCTAAATTTGTTTACTAGTTCTGTGATTAAACGTTCTTTGTTAAACAAATTACTTAGGAAGTTCTGCTGAGTTTCAGAGACAACAGTATTCTCGTCAAACATAATTTGAGGATAGCTTCTTTGAAGTAGCCGCCTCTGACCTTCTAGGCTCTACTTGCTGTTTGCATTTTCCATACAACCATCGAACACCACAGTTACTCTATTTCCATAATGTTTTTTAATGTAACTAACGTAAGCGTTGTAAACAATGTTAAATGTCCCTTTTTTTGGCCATATTACGCGGCGAAGCAAATATCCTCCATCAATAACATACTCGCTGTTTTTAAAAATATGGTCTCGTTCTGGAACTTTATTGACAATCTGGTATAAAGCTGCTTTATTAGTTTTCCTCATTAGGCCTTTCGCATCAAAAAGAGCAAGAGGTACTGATTATTGAGCTAATTCGAAACTAAAGCACTTTTTTAACTCCAGGCTAGAATGAACGGTGCAAATAATTCTTTGAAATAGTAATGTTGAGTCAAGTTGAACATCATTGCCATTAATTTTCATTGTATTGCTCAAACTAGATATCGGCTTTACACGATTTGCACGACGCACTTTTAAACTTTTAAATAAAATCCCATCTTTAACATTTGATAATTAGTGGATTAGGCCTACATGGGATACCTTTTAAAAAAACGCATCAAATACTTTACCTCTAGGGTGATGTGGAAATAAGTACAACTCACCCTTTTTATAGGGGTAGAGGAGTGTGAGAGAAGAACGTATATTAAAATTCTAATTGTAATTTAGTGGTTACTGTTTTTTGTTAGCGTTAAACATTAAACTTTAAATTAGTTTGAACTGCAGATAGTGCTAGTCATAACCAACCCTTATATTTGCGCCCTATTTGCCACTTTATTATTAACTTTAGAAAAAAAAGTGTCATTATCTTTTTGATAGAGAATATTATGGAGAACAATAATTTTTTATATAGGTATTTTTGTCGAGAATTGCACCGTTGCCGAGATTATCTAAAAAACTCAAAATGGAGGTAAAAACGATGTCCTGGGGGATGACGCACACTATTTAGGGGTGGGAACTTTTCAGTTTATTAATACATATGGTGTCCTGATTATTTCCACCAATTTTGAAAACTTTATGAATTTTGTCGGATATATCGCAATTTGGGCCATAATATTACTGAACTATAAGTTTTTTTGTAGCATTTTGATGGTTGTGGTAAAATTAAATATGCCACGGTGGCGACAAAGAAAGATAAAAATAATCCTGGATCATTACTGTCAATGGGATATGGATTTGTACAATTCTACCTAAAGAAAAGTGCAGATAAAGCTTTAAAAACATTACAACAGAGTGTTTTAGATGGCAAATCATTAGAACTAAAAAGATCAGAAAGAACTTTACAGTAAGTAAATAGTGAAATTAGGTAATTTAAAATATCATTAAACGATGAATTTTCTTCAGAAACGAAGTGACAACAACAAAGAAGGTGTCGAAAAAGTCTACTAAACAAACAGGTTCGAAAATTCTAGTTAAAAATGTACCTTTCCAAGCAAACCGCAAAGAAATCTGGGAACTGTTTAGTACTTTTGGTGAGATAAAAGACTTGAGATTGCCAAAGAAAATGTCTGCTGGGGCCGATTCTCATAGAGGATTTGCTTTTGTCGATTATGTAATACCTACAAATGCAAAGGTACAATTTATTTAGAGAATATTATCGAGATATACTTTTAAATGATTGGTTTTAGGAAGCTTTTGAAGCGCTCAGTCAAAGTACTCATTTGTATGGGAGAAGATTAGTTCTAGAATGGGCTAAATCGGAGGAAGGTGTTGAAGAACTTAGGAAAAGGACCGCAGATCATTTCGGTTCAAATGAAGTTGTTAAGTCTAAAAAAAGTGTTTTTAATATTGATTAGTTTATTGAAGTTGTACATAAATGTGTTTTTATTATACTACCTTTAGTTTTTAATTATTAATCATTATTTAGATAAACTGGCAATTCTTTATATCAGTTAAGCAGCATTGAAAGGTAAAAAATCGACTATTTTTTTCACTTTGTACCCTGAAAGAAAGGTTGGTAGATTTTTCTCTCCAAGCATGAGCTCTAATTTTAATAGGAAGGTCCTCCGCCTTGAAGAAAAATTCATATCTCGGTATCTACTATTTGGAAAAAATATCTTTCATAAATTTGTAGAAAATTGAATTCTCTACAAAAAAGGTCTCTTACAATTTTTTTGTAAACCTCACGGTTCGTAAGTTATTAAAGGTTTTGAAGTTTGATTATTTCAACGCAGATTTCTATTTTATGAATTTTATAACTCGTTGACAAAAGATCATTATGATTCACTCTCTGGATTCACTCAATTGATTTGTAGGAAATTCACTGATCTACAAAAATGGTTTCTTATGATTCGTCGATTAAATTAACCGTTTAAAAGATATTAATCGTCAAACTTCAATGCGCAATAATTTTAACCGGTTTTGATTAATTATTTGAACAATTCCAATTTATTTTATGAGTTTCGGAATTTTTTTTTTAAAATTTAAGTTTCTGTCGTAAAAGTAACTACTATGGAAGTTCTCTGTGCGAAAATTTATTTGGAATTTATTATTCTTACAATATTGTTACGGATTTCGCGGGTCCACTAATTTAACCTCACGAAAAATACTTAATGAATGTATTAAATAACAATAAAAATATAAGTAAAAGGATGTATCACGACAGAAACTTAAATTTGTAAAAATTTCCCCAACTCATAAAATAAATTGGAACTGTTCGAATTATTAATCAAAAACTGTTAAAATTATTGTGCATTGAAGTTTAATAACGATGAATATCTTTTAAACGGTTAATTTAACCGACTAATCATAAGGAACCATTTTTGTAGAGCAGTGAATTTCTTACAAACCGTGATTTGCGCGTATCATAATGATTTTTTGTTAACGAGTTATAAAATTCATAAGGATAAGAAAACTGCCTTAAAATAATAAAACTTCAATCTTTAATAACTTTTGAACTGAGGTTTACAAAAAAATTGTAAGAGACCTTTTTTGTAGAGAATTTATTTTCCTACAAATATATGAGAGCTATTTTTTCCAAATATTAGATACCGAGATATGAATTTTTCTTTCTAGTAATAATAAGGAAAAAATAGAAAACTGAAAGGCAGAGGACCTTCCTATTAAAATTAAGAAGTCATCATAGTATCTACTATATAATATACTCTAATCTACACATAACATTTGCCTTGTTATAACATCTCTTTCTGTATATATAAATGTCTCAACGGAGCATTAAATAAAACCATATTTTATATCAAAATATTTAATGAACAACTTTGTACTTTGAGAAAGTACCAAACATATCAACAACTATAAAACCTAATTTGACTACTACGCATACACTTTATTTCTTTAGCAAAGATTCGTCCTGCATAGATAACTGGCCTAATTTTTTACCAATACGTTCGTGAATGTCTAAAAATTTCGCCACACATCTATCTATACACACGGCTTCACCTTTGGCTATTTCTGAATCACCGTAGATTGGAGGTATGCATTTCTTATGGCAGGCTGCTGTCATTCGATTATACATATCTGCCATCATTTCTATTTCTAATTCCTGGATAAGTTGGAGATTTTGCTGTTCTTTTTGAGACATATTTTACACAAAACTGATAGTTTACTTTAATAAAAATCTTAGATAGTACTTGACTTGTATCTTTTGGGGCTTTCGTATTCTCCTTCGTTGGCTGCTTTCATGCGTTGTCGAATTTTCATATTCTCATAGCGCTTTTTCTCAACACTAGTTTTCGATAGATAGAACAGAGATAGACCGCCAATTGTACAAATCGTCCTAGAAAATGCTGATTTTTAACAGCGGTTGAGGTTATAAACAATTTTTTTTTTTTAATAAAAACTATACTAACCAGCCAATCCCAATTTTTATGTCTCGGCTTAAACGCATCCTTTGTACATTAAATATGTTTATTTATGATATTTCTTTACAAGAAAATTATTAAATTTACACCACGAGAAAATTAAAACCCCTTTGACAGTCGACAGCCACTGACACTAATGATAAAACAGATTTCTGTAATTTTCAATAATTTTGATGAAATACTAGAGATGGGTCTTAAGATTTAGATTGATTTTGAATATTTATTAGGAATGAGAAATATCAAATTTATATTCAGAATGAAATATAAATCTAGACTATAGTTATTAAAAGTACACCTCAGGTACACCTCATCACTGAGTGCGCCGAGACGACAACCATTCGTGCCATGAATTTTGGTACGACTGATATTGGAGATGGAGAACTACCCTCTATAAAACCGTCCCAGATACTGGCTTTTGTCAAAGCCCTGGGACTGTATGATGAGTTATGATTCAAGAAAGGGGGACACAATGGATCTGTAAGGTCGAAGTGATTAACCCCCCTCCCACTCATTCTAAATTCTAAAAAAAAATTTTAGTTATTAAAAAATTACCATGGAGAAAAAGGTGCTTTTGATTCAGACGGAACTCAGATTAAACTTTGAATTTAAAGTGGAATATTGCTTATGTTTCTGTTTTCTGTGATAATAAACCTAGTGGTGTGACCCTAGTGTAAAACCACAAAAGATATTAGTTTTTGTAGGTCATAAAAATGACGTAGCTAAGAACTATAGTATTGTAATTTTTGAAAAATTTTAGTAATGAAAATATCTGTTGACTTTCTCTATATATAGATATTATTATATGAAATAAAACGTACTATTTAATAAGATTTAGTTAATATATTTATTACGCGTTTGCATAAATAATTTTCTGTATAGTCTCGATTTTTCTGATTTTAGTAAACTTTTGAAGAATTAACATTTATTTTGTAAAATAATAATAGTCATTCACCATTTTGTCAAGTACAAGTACAATGGTATAGAAGAATTTTATATATCAACTAGCGTGTACCAGCGTGAATTAATCATTTGTAATGGTGATGATAAAGCAAAGCAAGAATTACCATTAACATACAAACTGGATAAAATTTTCTCACATTTATGTCAGCATGAGAAAAAACAATATGGCCATTATTATATAACTTGGTAATATTTGAGGGGTAGTTTCATCTCATTGGAATTTGACTTTCGAAAAATCCGTTTGCCAAAAATAAGCTTTTTACGTCAAGCAGTTTAAGCAGCATCGTGGTTAAGAAATTACCCAACTTTGTGGAACACCCTGTATGATTTTTTAAAAAAATTTAAAATATGTAAAAAAACCAAATAAATTATGCTTGTCCAAGCGTTTTCCCGAAAGACTAACTTTTTTTTAAATAACAAATATTGTAATAATTGAGGGGCGTTTTCACCCTCTAGAAATTTGAGATTCGAGAAACCCCTCCTTATCGAACTTCTACACCCTACAGTCAATCCGTTTGCCAAAAATCAGCTTTAAACGTCAAACAGTTTAAGCAGAATCGTGATTACTCAATTATTTATATATATGAAATATATATTAGAGTTATATTTTATGAAACACCCTGTATAAATTTATAAAAAATCTTAAAATATGTAAAACAACAAAATAAAATATACGCGTTTAAGAGTTTTTCCGAAAAACTCATCGGTTTTTAAATAAAAAATATTTTAATATTTGAGGGATAGTTTCACCCCCTTAGAATTCGAGTTTCGAAAAATCCCTTCTTATCGAACCTCTACACCCTAAAGTCAATCTGTTTTCCAAAAATCAGCTTTTTACGTCAAGCGCTTTAAGCAGGATCGTGATTAATCAATGACCAGATTTTTTGAAACACCCTGTATACATTTTTAAAAAATCTTAAAATATGTGAAAAACAAAATAAAATATACTTGTTTAAGCGTTTTTTCGGAAACTTGGCCGTTTTTTAAATAAAAAATATTGTAATATTTGAGGGGTGGTTTTACCCACTTGGAACTGGAATTTCGAAAAATCCCTTCTTATCGAACCTCTACACCCTAGAATCAACCAAAATTAAGCTTTTTACGTTGAGTGGTTTGAGCAGGATCGTGATTAATCAGTATGTCAGGCACTTAAGGATTTTATATATTAGAAGGATATTAGTATATAGATATGTCATCACAATAAAATGGTAGTCTGAATTTTAACAGTGATGTAGAAAATAAATTAGTAAATGGAAAATCAAATACACAACTCAAAACAATTATCGCATATTTTCTAAAAAGAAATATTAATTTGAAAAACAAGACACTTTGAATTCCCTGACTTACAATTTTAAATAGTATTGTCAAGAAAAATGGCCTATCCGCCAGAAATTAAAAATGTATTACTGGTTGCCTGCACAACCGCAACGTATCCGCCAGAAATTAAAAGACTTTTTCAGGCGCCATCTTTTAGTCAAGTCGAGAAGTAAGGGAATCAGACAATAGAATTGTCTGGTATGAAGAAGTACGCTTTCCGAGAATTGGAGAAATTTCGAGAAGCAGTCAATAGAGTATATAAACCGGAGCCATCGACAACTGAGACAGTTTTTGAAATTTGAATATACCGCGTGGAAATTGAAAATCGGACAATTTGGTGAAGGAATGTTATAAATAGTTAGTTTGTTGTGTGTTATAAGTTAGTAATTGTGTATAAAGTGAGAAAATAAATTCGTTAAGTATTTTATCGTGAGTTTAAATTAGTGGACCCACGGAATCCGTAACAATTGGTGTCGGAAGTGCGATTCAAGAGGATTTTAAGCAGAAATTAAGTGGATTGGAAGATTTTTAGACCGAATTAGAGTATTTTTATGGTTGGTACAAGGGAACAAGCGAAGAAAATGGAGGAAGTAAGCAAATTATTGGGCGATTTTATGGAGAATATGAGAAGAGAGAAGGCAGAAGAACAAGAAAGACTCCGTAAAGAACGAGAAGAAGAGCGAGCCCGACTAGAAAGAGAGAAGGCAGAAGAACAAGAAAGACTCCGTAAAGAACGAGAAGAAGAGCGAGCCCGGCTAGAAAAAGAGAAAGCAAAAGATAAAGAAGAGGAAAATTACAACGACAAAAGAAAAACAAAGAAGAA